CAATTATTACTATCCTGCTCCCAAATTTACTTTGTATCTACTTTGTTTAATATTTTGTATTTGATCCTAAGCATATATATTCTCCCTCCCCCCCCACATCAGATGTAAGCTTTTCCAGGGCAAGAACTATTCGGTTTTTTGTCTTTTAATCCCCAAATCCTAAAAGTGTCTGACACAGAGTGGGTATTTAATGTTTGTTGAATGAATGAGTATTGGGGAGAAATAGTATTGCACAAATAAATAAAAAAGATGTATAAAGTAACAAAGTAATTTCATTGGGGAGCAAGCACTAATAACTGGTCATCAGGAAAAACCTTGTGTAGGAGCTGTGTTTTGATATTTAGAACAACTTGTACAAAGACAAGCAGGTGACAGATGAATGTTGTTCCTGAGAAATATATTCTAATTCAGTTTGCTGGAATGTCAAGTGTTTTACATGAAATGACTGTAAAAGTAGATGGGAACCTGATTGTGGGGGGGGCCTTTTATCATTTTTCCTAGAGGAAATAGGGAACCATTGGAAATTTTTGAGTAGAGGGAAGTCATAATCTGATTTGCTTCTGGGAAGCTTTTGCAACTGTATGGAAAATGGACAGAGGGAGAGACTCAATTAGGAAGTTATTGCAGTAGTCTAGTCAAGAGTCAATGAGGACATGAAGCAAAGTAGAAATTGTGAAAATGGAATAGAAATGATAGATTTGAGGGATGTTATGGAATTGGTGCACACAGATTGTGTGTACCACAAAGATTGGATATGAGGGTTGAGGGAGAGGGAAGAGGCAAAGATAACTTTGAGGTTTTGAACCTGGATCACTGGAAGAATGATGGCACTCTCAGGAATGGAGTTGTTTGAAAAAACAATGGATTTTTGGGAAAATATGAGTTCTACTTTAGACATGTTGAGCTTAAGATGTTTGTGGAACATCCAGGTAGAGATGTCCAACATGCAGGTGGTAACATGAAATTGGAGTTCAGAAGAGATTCATTTTTAGAACTGGAAACTGCAGGGGTGCCTATCAACTGGGGAATGACTGAACAAGTTGTGATATATGATTGGGATGGAATACTACTATGCTATAAGAAATGAGGAGCTCAATGATCTTAGAAAAACATGTAACTATTTGCCATTTTTTTCTACTATTCGCTATTTTTTTTTCTCCTGTTGAGTTTTGTTTTCTCTTTCTGGTGGTTCCTTCTATTGGTTCTAATTCTTCCTTACCAACATCACTAATGTGAAAATACGTTTAATAGGAATGTAAATATATAACCTATATCAGATTGTGTGCCCTCTTGGGGAGGGAGGGGGAGAAAAATTTTAAACTCAAAAGCATATGGAAGTGATTGTTGATAAATCAAAATAAATTAATTAAAAAGAAAAAAGAAAAGAAATAAATATTATTAACTGTATTTGTAAAAAAAACATAGAAAGACTTGCACAAAATAATGAAGAGCAAAATGAACAGAACCAAGAGAACATTGTATATAGTAACAGCAATATTGTTTTAAGAATGACTTTGAGAGAATAAATAATTTTGACTATTACAAATACCCAAATTAATTATAAAGGACATGTGAAGAAAGACATTATTTGCATTCAGAGAAAAAGTTGATAAATAGAAGTATGTATAGAATAATTTTACATATATATGTACATACACACACACACACACATATATACCTATTTGTATCTAATGGTAGCCATTTCTAGGGTAAGGGAGAAGGAAGATAAAAATTTACAATGATAACTATTATATATTTAAAAGGAATAGTAAATTGTACATAATAGATTCGTAGTTTCATGTACAAATCATCTTTTTTATTATATTATGTTATGGAAATACTTGTTTTATTCTTTAAATTAAAAATAAAATAAAAATTTTTAAAAGAAGCTCTTCTCTCTATATATACATATATTTATATGTGCATTTACATACACATAACATAACATATTGTGAATATATACATACATACATACATATATATATATATATTTGGGGGAAGTCATTCGCATAGATACCTTGAGCTTGCTCTTTCACATTCTTTGGCCTGTGAACCACAGAGTTTTGGGGGGAAAATGTCACAATGTATGGTTACTGCCTTGAAGTCCCAGTTTTTAAAGAAACAATGAGAGTCTTTTTGACTGCTACCCTCTAGCCTCTATTTGACTTAATCTTCTGTTTTGCTTTAAAAAGCCGAACTGAATTATGGCAATACTTCTCTGTGCTATGACTTATTATCATTATGTAGGTTTTATTATAAGCAAATCCCCATTGGCTATTTACAGCTAGGCTTACCTGGAGGGCCTAAGTTTAACATTCATTCCTAGAGTCTCATGATACAATGAATGCTCAGTAATTTGCATTGCATTAGGATCTTCCTCTTATTTACCATCAGAAATGGGTCAGGCCAACCATGACTCCAGAAGACTAATGATGAGACATTGCCTGACAGAGAGGTGATAGACCCAAAGTACAGAATGAAATAATTCATTTTTTTGGGCGTGGCAAATGGATGTTTTACTTAATTAGGCTTTTTTTTTACAAGAATTGTGGTTTTTTTTTTAATTTAGGTGAGGGTGTTCAGGATTTGGAAGAGAAGAAAGAACTAACAATAGTGTGACCAAAAAAAGAAGAAAAGAAAAAAATAGCTACAGTAATGAGCTCACATACCCTTAAGAGTATTGGTGCATATGTGGTCACTTATTCTGCCTATAGTGAAGCCAGCCTAGAGCCCAGGTCAGATACCTAAAGGCCAAACCTCCAAGTCTTCTCTCAGACTGTCCCCTAGGCCCATCCCTTTCCACCTTTTGCATCTCAGAATCCCTAGAAACCCACTTGAAGGAAAGTAAGGATTCTGAGAGAAGGAGGTAAGGACTGCATGCCAGGCATGAGAATAGCCAGTACAAAGGTACAGAGGTGGGAGAGGAACTCTTTTTCTGGGCTCAGTTTAGGGACTACCTCCTGTACTTGGGAAATCTTACCTGACCTCCCACTGCTAGTGCCTCTCACCCCAAATTACCTTGTATTTTTTTGTGCTTGTATTTATAAGTAGACATGTTGCTTCTTCCACTGGAGCATATATTTCTTTTTTGGGGGGGGAGTATATATTTCTTTAGGATAGGTATTGTTTTGATTTTGTGTCCCCATTACCTAGCTTAGTGCATGGCACATAGTAAATGATGAAAGCTTTTTTATGGATTGATCTCCACCCCAACTGTGTTTGGGGGATGAGTATTCCTAAAGGATTCAGGATCACAAAAGGAATAATATAATCAAACCCTAAGTAAACCCAGAGTAAAGAAGCTGAAACTAAGAATCAGCAAAAGTAGTGATTTACAAAACTGAAATGATTGTATGCCAGCAGTTCTAGATTAGAAAATGCAGCACAAGACACTTCATTTGAAAGGCAGCTCTTTTCATTTTAACAGATTTTGCCAAAATCATCCTGACACCAAACAAAACTACATTTATACAGAGTTGAAACATAAATAGCCAGGTTTTATGGACATGACAAGAATTATAAGCATGAATTGATGATTTTTTTAAAAAGTATCAAAAATTAAAAAAAAAAAAGAAATAAAAGGAACTCATTGAAGCATGTTTAAAAAGTGAGAACAGTAAGCACTTAATCTAAAATAATTTAAAAAGCTATGTCAACTGCAGTGAAGCCATTAAGGGTGATAGGAGATTCCCAAAGGTTAGTCAGGCATTGAAAAAAGTCAGCCTGAAACATATATGTACCTACACAGTTTAATATATTTCATGGCTAATCTTTTGTCTTTTGTGGTGCTAATGAAGCCTGGGGCACACGGAAGGCATTGCTCTAGTGAGTAACTTTACTTTCCTTTTGTAGCCATTTTGTTCTATTAGTGTATTGGTTCTTAAGATGCTATTGATCTATTTGTAAATTGTTACTTTGTAGTTTATGCATGTACTGGAACTTGATTTCTTTTAGATACTGATTTAAAATATATTCCTATTCCAATAAACAGCTATGGGAGAATATTCCCTATGTTGTCAAAAAAAAAAAAGGAACAGAAGGAAATTTAGAGGGAAGCACAGACAAACAAGACAGCTTTGACAATAACATGTTAAATTTATTATATATATATTATATATTTTTAAAGTAAGTTGCAGGGCAGCTAGGTGGCGCAGTGGATAGAGCACTGGCGCTGAAGTCAAGAGGACCTGAGTTCAAATTCGGCCTCAGACCAAGCACTTGACACTTACTAGCTGTGTGACCCTGGGCAAGTCACTTAACCGCAATTGCCTAAAAAATAAAAAAAAAGTAAGTTGCACATAATAGAAATTCATGATTTTACACATAATCCTCTTTTCTTTGTACCTGGAAATAGTGTCTCTTTTTTGTGGGTGCATATTACATTCAGAATAAAAAAATGAAGAAGTAGATCAAGAACCTTTATGTTCCTAGGTCTGAATTTTATCACTGCCCCTCTACCACCACCGAAGATCCTGAGATTTGGTAGAGCTCTAGGTCATACCGCTATTCTGGGTCATATCAAGGGAATTACCTGGCTCTCCTGGGGAGCTTTCCCTTATATTTCAGTAGTGATGGCCCTTGAAGTAGTGCTGTGATGAAGGGGCTCTTTATTTAAGGAACTGAATTTCTGATTAAGAGAATGTTTGCTGAGGATGTAAACTGAAGAGTGCATTATCTGGGACTGGCAGAAAAGGGGGAAAAAATCATCTTGACTTTATTTTTTTGTAACTTCCCAACTTCCATTCAGGACCCCATGGGCATTTTTTCAATAGTTACTTAGTTTGGTTATTTTTACACTCCTGATCTTCAGTCTCTACATGGAGAAGACCCACCCTTTGCTCTGAAAGGCCCTGTTGGGTCTTTGAATGTGGTGCTTGTGTAAAAGGGTGTGAAAGGGTATCCTTTCAGAGCCCAGTGTCACTCACTAAATTGGCCAGCCCCCTGTTTTCCCCATCCCGCCCCCTCAGTAACCTGGCCTCCACTCTCCAGCAGGACTGTCCTTGGCTATGAGCTTCTAGTTGGTTATCGGACACTGAAGGGACTGGCTGGCGCAAGCAGGCGCTGAAAGGTGAAGGAGAGAAGCCTTCTGGAAACCAGGAAAGGAGGCAGCCAGCAGCAGCTTAACTCTGCAGGAGCCATGGCTGCAACCTCTGTCTTGGTGCTGCTTTTTCTTAGTCAACTTGTAGCTACCTCCTTCGCTCAGGTAAGTATTCTTTTGTCTACTTTGAGGTCAAAGCAAAGAAAGAACTAACGTGGGCATAGATTGCTTTTCCTCTTAATTGTAAAGGTAGGGGTTAATAAGTAGGTGGTTCCAGTTTTCATTTGTTCAGGATGAAAGAGCAAGAATTCAAGAGAGAATTGGAAACCTTATCTGGGGTAGGGAGGGAAGGATGGATGAATGGATGGATAGCTGCATTCTGCAATCTAAAGGCCACTACTATCTGTCTTGTGGGAAGAGGGGGTGGGTGACATTTTTAGAGCCAACACACCCATTTGCAGGAACAAAACTAGTGGAATTAAAACTCTCTCCCTCTCTCTCTCTTTCTCCCTCTCTCTCTTTCTCTGCCAAAACAGCATAAGCTTAAGCACGTTACTTTATTCACCCTAAGTAGAAGCATTTAAAGGAAACACCAAAATCTTTTCTTCTCTTTTCAGTGGAGATCCCAGTAAGTATGTAAGAAACTCCCCCTTCCTACCCTTGCTCAAGAATACCCACCTCATTCAGGAAGGGCTCTAATTCGTGTGTCACCTGGGAGTCCCTGGTGTCTGACAGAATCCCTCTGCCAGGCGTCTCTTTGTCTCCGCTTCTTAGAGAAACCCCCTAGAGCAGAGCCCTAGCTCCCCAGGCAAGGCTTACAATGAGACTTTTGTTCCCAAGACTGTTTCGCTGGACCAGGTTCCCCATGGAGCCCATGCCACAGTACAGACTCTTTCTTACCAAAAGCATGAAAATAAAAAATCCCACACCTCAGGCACTTTGACAGAAAGGCCTCTTTCAGGGCACACAGACGGCATTGTGCAGCCCTCTAGACATCCCCCACCTTGGATATCAACAACTACCAGCCTACTTCTGCTGGGAGTTTAGGTGGTCTTAGGGGGCCAGCCATAGGCTTGGGCTGAACCATCATCCTTTTAGATGACTTTGTTTACCTAGCAGGGCTGATAAAGGAGCTTGCTCTGGGAAGGGGAAAGTTATCTTAGCTCCAAGTCTCATCAATTCCCTGAGATGGAGAATTCTCTCAGCCCCCAAAGTTTTCCTGCTTCCTTGCCTAATAGCTTCCCTAGCTTCCTTTGAGTCTCAGCTAAAATTTCCCCTTCTATAAGAGCCTTTCCCAGTTTACTTAATCTTAGTACCTTCCTTCTGAGACTCCCCCATTTATCCTGTAGTATATCTTGTTGGTACTTAGTTTCTTACATGTTGTGTCCTCTATTAGACCATGAGCTCCTAGAGAGTAGGGACTGTTCTTTGCTTTTCTTTGTATCCCTAGCACTTAACATAGTGCCTGTCATACAGTAGGAGCTTAATAAATACTAGTTGGCTGACTGACTGACCACCATGCTGGACCATGAGTGGAATGAGGCAGGGAATTATCTATCTTTGAGGGACCTTTACTTGATGCCATATTTCTGTTTTTCCTATCAGAAAATGGGACCCCGGGGCCCTGCTGGACCTCAAGGACCTCCTGGACCTCCTGGAAAAGATGGCATAGATGTGAGTATTCTTTTTTTTTTTAAACAATTAATTTATTTTTGGTATTCAACATTCACTTCCATAAGATTTTGAGTTTTAAATTTTCTCCCCCTCCCACTTCTTTTCCCCCTCCCAAGACAGCGTACTATCTGATATGGGTTCTACATATACATTCATGTTAAGCATATTTTCCCATTAGTTGTGATGTAAAGAACAATTAGAACTAATGGGAGGAACCATGAGGATGAAGCAATAAAACAAAACAACAAAGGAACAGGAGAGCAAATACAATGCTTCCATCGGCATTCAGACTCCATAGTTCTTTCTCTGGGTGTGGAGATATGAGTATTCTTGGAGTTGAGTGAAGAATGTGAGTGAAAAGTCAAAGGTGAAAGAATGCAGGAGAGTTAACTCAGGCTCCAAGGTAGCTTGTTGGGAAATTATCAATTTACAAGTGAAAAAATGGAAACATACAAAGAAAATATTTTCTAAACATTGGCAAACCTGCCATAAAGTTTCTAAAATTCAAAAATTTGTACTTGGTGGGGATTTGTCTGAGGAATTGATCTCTGACCTGAGAAAGAATTAGGGATTTGGTGGTTCAGGTGGGAAAGAGTGTTGAAGAGGGTAGTGGGGTGAGGCTCTGCTTTGGGGGAGAGGTAGGTACATATGTCTCCAAAAAAGAGAACCCCCAAAAAGAGAAGAGCTAGATCTTTTTGCTAGTTTTCAGACTGAAACTGTTTCCCTTGGTGAGGGCTGGGGGGGGCAAGGGTACCATAATATGTTCTCTTCCTAAGGCCCACAGTGTTTACTACTAGCAGGTTTCAAGGAGAGGCTAAGAGACACAACTTTTATTGATGAACTCAGGAGAGAATTGCTATCTTGTTTTAGGGTCTAAATGTTTATGGGTAGTTGTGGTTGCTAGGACTTGCTAACGAGATAGGCACCTGGAAATCTTATTACCCATTTCTCAGAAAATGTCATGTCTATCTCCTTTCTCTCTGCACACCCCTTTTTCCCTTCCCTCTCTTTCCCCCTTTTCATAGAAGTCTTTGCTACTCAGACATTGGATCTAGCAGAGGAGTTTGGTTTTTCCCATTTTAGTAAAACCACCAAGTTTAGTAAGCCACAAAGCAGGCTCCCTAAACTGAGCAAGAAGGTTTCAAGGTGGCAATTTTTCTTACCACAGCAACTTCTGTGGTTTTACAAAGGCATAAAGACCTAACTGTATCTAGCCCCTATTCTATGTGTACAGCAGGCAGGTCAAATAGGGAAAGGACTGTTTCCCACAAGTGTTCAGAATGTGACAGACAGGATGGAATGGAATCAGGAAGGGGGTGAGGTGGGGAGCTCATTCTGAAATACCCTTATTCAATAGGAAGGAATAAAAGGTCCACATGTCAAATGGGGTCTTGGCCTTCTGGGAATATCAGGTTTAAACCTGCCATATTAAATCCTGGAGTGTTCTTGGCAAAACTGTGAACCAGGCAAAGGATTTCCTTGACCTCCATCTTATGTCCCCTCATTTCTCCTAGCGTCTCTTAGTCTTAGCTTTAGTCTTCTTAGTCCCTTAGTGGCCTTACTGTGCAGGGGGTCCACCTTAATTAGCCTTCTAGGCCAGTATACCCCCATTTTCTTCTTTTGCTTTCTTTCTACCCTCAGTCCTCCATTAGCACTAATCCCTTAGATGTCAATGGCTAATAATGACTATAATGACCTTATTCTGTACCAATCCTCCCCCCCCATAAATATTTGCAGTGTAATATACTACTGTCTTCATTCTGGGCAGTGGTTCTAATATAATAAAAATAATTTAAAAAACATAATACATATAATATGTATAAGTAATCTTGATTTTTCCTGATTCCCCAAAGTCATATCATGTAGATAGCTATTTATTCTGATTATATATGAGGCCAGTATTTTTTCAGAAAGGAATGAGCTACTACTCCCAGATAGAACTGGAAAGGAGCTAGTGAGAGATATTCAGGAATACCCAGATATTGTGCCTTATCAGGATAGAAGCTTTGACATTTATAACTTTTTCAACCATTGAGGGGTGGGGAAGAGTTTGGGCACTTGGAGTGACAGTACTGGGAAAAGAGGTATAGTTTGCAGTTTTTCTGGACCATTTAAAAAAATATGAATTTTATTTTTTATTGTGAACTTTTAAAACATCAACAAATATGTACATTTTAATGTATAAAGAATGGAAAAGAGGATTGCACATGAAATTAGAGAGTTCTGTTACATACAGTTTTTAAAATGTATTTTTAAAAACTCCCTTCTGCTCTTGTATACACACATGTATATATGTATATATATATATATATATATAAATGTTTAATTGATTCTCTTTGCCTTCCTCCCTTCTTTTATTTTTTTTAACATCACTAACACTACCCACCAACTCCACTTGCATAAATAAAAAACTTCCCTTAAAAAAAAAATGCGGTCAAACAAAACAAACAATACATTGACTATATCTGAGAATCTATGTGTCAATCTGCACACCCTGTCCATCACCTCTCTGTTAAGAGGTGGGAAGCTGTTTTATCCTCAGTCCTCTGAAGGCATGATTGGTCACTGCATTCATCAGAGTTTCAAAGGCTTTCAAAGTTGTTTTCCTTCACATTATTGTGATAATTATGTAAATCATCCTCCCAGTTATATTCATTTCACTCTACATTAGTTCATTCAAGTCTTCTCAGATTTTTCTGAATCCATCATATTTGTCATGTCTTATGGTACATTATATTCCATGATACTTATATACGATAATTTGTTCAGCCATTCCCCAAATGATGGGCAGTAGCTTAATTTTTACAAATACTGCTATACTACAAATACTACTGTAAGTATTTTTGTACATATAAAATCTTTACCTCTGTCTTTATTCCTTAGGTTATATGTCCAGTATTGACATCATTTGGTCAAAGAGTGTGCATATTTAATAACTTTGGTGGTTTAGTCCCAAAATGCTTTCCAAAATGATAGGATAAATGAACAGCTGGATCAACAGTGCCTTACTGTTTCTGTTTCTGAACCATTTTTTCATGCTGCTCTGTTTACAGTAACATGTCTTTCCCCTAGCTGTAAATCCTCACCTTCCTTATATCAGTCAATTCATAATCCTCTCTTAGAGGTGGTACAATCAATGGGAAGACCCTGGAGCCTGAAAGCAAAGAAGTGTCTGTGCCATCAGCTTGCCATAACTAGTCTCCCCATATATCCACTGTAGCTGTGACACCTGGCTCCCAGCCTTTTATTTCTGGATTAGTCAGGGAAGACTCTGTCCTAGAAATCTTTCAGGATCCTGCCTTTCCTTTTCTGAGGATAAAAATGCACAGGAATTAAACACAAAACATGCCCATCAATGAAGCAGCTTAGGTGGGATTCACAGGGTGGGTTTGGGCATCCAATATACCTTTATTTCACATGGGTAAAAGTAAGAGGGAACCTGTGCTAGGTCTGTCTTTAACATTTTGGGCATGTGTTGCTTTTTTCCCTGTCATAGGGTGAAGCTGGTCCTCCAGGTCTGCCTGGCCCCCCCGGTAAGTGTGTTCCTAATAAAAGAACTGCCAGGATCCTTCAGGTATTGGTGATACAAATATTCAGTTGGGGGGGGGAGGAGAGGTGTTAGGAGAATGAGCTCAGCTATATCAGCTGGGAAGACAATAATCTGCTATCTAGGACGTCTCATTTGGTGTAGGGCCAAGTGCAGCAGGACAGTTTAGTCCTTAACCTGGCTATTTCTGTTCCCTTAGAAGACTGGGAAAGTCAGGAGTAATAGGTGTTGGATGTCTTGAGAAGAAGGAACCCTCAAAATAGAATAGAGACAAGAAAAGGGGCCAGGAAAATAGCAGAGCAGGATGGTGAGAGGGTAGAAAGGGAGGGCTTAGGGAGAAGAAGACTTCATGCCTGGCCTCTGCCATTTTCTTTGGCCTGGAGACTTCCTAGGGAAGCGGAAGGGAATAAGCATTTATGTAGAACCTATTATATGTTAGCCACTGTGCTTTTACAAATATTCTCTAATATGATTCTATGATCTCATTCGATCTGATCCATTGATGAGAGCAGTGTGGTCTCTGTTTTTCTAAGATGAATTAAGGGAGGGTGACCTCAAATTCTCCTGGTGAAAAGAACTGGGAAATTTTTGCCTAGGGCAATGAGTTATTTCAATCTCTTTAGCTAAAGGGACCCTTTTTATGGTCAGGGAATGAGCTGGTTTTAACATATGAGCTGCCTGCCCTCCAGCAGGTTTGCCCAAACCTTTTGAGATCTAAAAGTCATTTAACAGCTGGATTCAGAACTCAATCTTAGGCACTGCAGCCCAGAGGAAAGGGATAGAAATGGGTAAATAAAAAAAATAAATAAAGGGAACCTGGTTCCCACCTTTAGGAATGATACAGCATAGAGGCACAGCTTCCATGCATGAAAAAGACTGAAGGAGTGTGACTCAAAGTGGAAGGGAAAATCTAGGGCATGTAAGCACTGAGATACAACATGACTAGAGTGATGTAGAGTGTGGTTCCTTGGCTCTGACCCTCCTATACTCTGAGAAGCTGTTCCAGAAGAGAAGGGTTTGAAGCACAGCTCTGAAGAAGGAAAAAGAAGGGATGGACCCTTTTAATCTGGGAAAAATAATGCATCTAGGGACAGACTTAGTTGTACAGGCAAAGGTGACAGCTGACCTTTCTTTCTAGAAGAGATAGTCTGTGTCTAGGAATTAGGACAACAGTAGGTGTTTGCCTGATAGCCTCTGCAGGAGACACGGGATGAGGGCAAAAGTCCCAAAGAAGACATACTCTATTCAATTAACCTTTATTAAGTGCCTACCGTGAGCCAGGCACTATGTGCCACATCATATGGAACTAGACTATCTCCCTCATTCTTCCCTTTCTTTCTTTCTTGTGTAGGGCCCCAAAGGAGCACCAGGGAAACCAGGGAAACCTGGAGAAGCTGGACTGCCTGGGCTTCCAGGTGTTGATGTGAGTATCAGAGCTTCTCTCCTTTGCCATTCCCATGGAGGCTCACTTCTCCTCCCCACATTCTTATTCCGTCCCAGGAAAGGCTGCTGGCTTTCCCTGCATGGAACCCAATTCCTTTGCTTGGGCCCCAAGAACTCTCAGAACAACTTCCAGGAATCAGTTATAATTTCTCTTTTCCCACTGCCCATTCATGTGGGAAAGCTGGGGCCAAGTTACTGGAAGTCTCCGGGTTTGGGAGCTCTTTGGGCTGTAACCCAAATAATCGCTGATTTGTGATTTTTAGGCAGATCGTTGGCAGGACAAAGAAACACCATGATGTTCCTCTCCTTAGAAAGTTTAAAGTTGAGCCAACTCTTAATTATCCAGAGACCAAGGTCTCAAAAGTCCATTCTAGCTTTAAATTCTAGGCTTAGATAGGTGTACAAGCCAGGCCTCTTTATTCCTCTTTCTTCCTCTCCCTGCCCATCCTTGCACCATTTCACTACTGATAATAAAGCGAAGAATCTTAGGAAATGTCTTCTCACTGCTACCCCCATAACCTTGGTTTTTAGTCTCCAAAAGGAACTATAAGTCCCGAAAGACAAGCGGTGTTTGTGTTTTACTTCTCCCTGTTCCCAGAGAGCATATTGATAGAAAACTGAGAAAAGCTTATTTGTGTATGTGATATTTTTTGTATTTATATAGAGGCAGAAATTCCCCTTCCCTCTCCTTTCCAAAGTACCGTTTATGACAGTTAGGTCAGCATGGGCCTGACCAGAAAAAACTTTAAGTTGTTATCTGTTTGCTTGAATTGCAGCAGAGTCAGGAATATTGGGAAGGAGATACTTTTGCTTCCTGCTGTTTGGAGGTTTCTTTCGTGTTTAATTTTTAAATGATAACATAGCAGACTGTCCCTCTAGTTTCCTCCTATGTACCAGAGTACTCTCCATGTGACTCTTCTCTTTTCTGTCTCTTCCTCAGGGTCTGACAGGTCAGGATGGGCCCCCTGGTCCCAAAGGCTCACCTGGAGAAAGGGTAAGTTCCTGAAATGTCTATATGGCCTTCTGGGTTTATTTGGTTTTTTTTTTACTTTCTTTGTTTGTTTGGTGGGAGGGGGTGGGGAGAACAGAAGTAGTCCCAGGGCAGTCAGTGGGCACAGAAGAGGTAACCTCATTCCTAATCATCCATGAAAGCCTTGAGCTATTCCTTGACCCTGTGGATACCAGAATATCTATAAAGGACCAGGCTTCAGTTTATTTTGCTGCAGGAACTGGTAATATAATTAACAATCCACAATTACAATGCACTTTCCTGACAATGACCCTATGAGATAGGGAAGAAGGGGTAGATCTATAGCCTCCAGGGTCTCTAGCTCAGAGGAGGCCTAAAGCAGAGAACAAGAAAGGGAACTGGAAGGGAAGGAGAAAGGAGGCCCTCTTGGAGTAGAGAATGGAGGACAGCTTGTCCTCATAGCCTTACAGAGCTGTCAGCCAGAGACACTTGTCAGACATCTGGTGCCTTAGGATAGGATTTAATTATACTAGGATAGTTCCATCTAGAACCCTCCCTCTGTGTCCAGTTACTTACATATGTACATTTCTCCATAGCCATTATGTACAAAAGTCATGTCCTTGGTCCTCAGTGCCTCAGACTAAAGTCTTGTTTTTATTGGCTTAAGCTTTCTCTTCACTTGACTCTTGCTGATGAAGTATGGAGGATCTCTGGACAGCAAGGCTGGGTTTGGCTTTGTTTCTTCAGCTTCCTAGGAATAAGCGGTATATGGGGTTGGGAGAGTGGGAGTAGGAAAGGACCGGCTTGCAGGCCTCCTAGAGGCACTAGCAGCTGATGGCTAGGAGGGCAGTTTGAGGTCACAATTCTATCCTTTTCTTTCCTTCTTCTCTATGTGGTGACTACAGTTGTACCTCACCTTAAGTAGGGAATAGGTACCCAAAAAAGAAGAACAAGGACTAGTTACGGGCAAGATGGGCAGCACTAGATTGCAATACTCAGTAAGAGCTTTGATTTTTTTTTTTTTTGCTTTTTTTTCAGCGAGGCAATTGGGGTTAAGTGACTTGCCCAGGGTCACACAGCTAGTAAGTGTCAAGTGTCCAAGGCCGAATTTGAACTCAGGTCCTCCTGACTCCAAGGTCAAAGCTCTATCTACTGTGCCACCTAGCTGCTCCAAGAGCTTTAATTTTTTTAAAAAATAATACACATTTTTAGAGTTTAATTCTGGACCTGTGATTTCAATGTTATTGGGAACTTCCAGGTGAGGAAATTCCCTATTCAAGGGTGGGGAACCTGCAGCCTCAAGGGGCACATGTGGCCTTCTAGGTTCTCAAGTGCAGCCCTTTGACTGAATCCGAACTTCACAGAACAAATCCCCTTAAAAAAAGGATTTGTTGGGGCAGCGAGGTGGCACAGTGGATAGAGTACCGGCCCCGGATTCAGGAGGACCTGAGTTCAAATCCGGCCTCAGACACATATCACTTACTAGCTGTATGACCCTGGGCAAGTCACAACCCCAATTGCCTCACCAAAAAACAAAAACAAAAACAAATAAAAGGATTTGTTCTGTGAAACTTGGACTCGGTCGAAAGACCTCACCCCTGATTTGGGGGAAGCTTCTTAGGGAAGAATCAGGCCCTTGTTGAGGAACCCAAGTACCCTCTGTACTGATCAGGATGTGACAGAAGCATGGCTAAGGAACCGATGGGCTTCCCAGGAGCCCAAATTCTCACCATTTCTACACACACACACACACACACACACACACACACACACACACACACACACTCGTTTCCTTTTGTCAGGAAAGACCCCCATCTTCTGGCTCCCTTTTACACAGTCCTACACCCATACTCCATGCTCCAAGCTTTCCACTTTGCACTCTTTCACAGGGTCTCACGTACACACCTTCTCACTTGCACTTTGGCTCACACAGGAAAGGGAGAAAGCAAATCCTATTCAAATTACCTGCTGAGCAGCCCTGCTTCCTGCTTTCCAGTCTGGGCTGTCAGGAAGCATTAGCTGGACTAATTTCCTTTAGAAATAAAGCTAATTCCTTCTAATGTCCCCACCAGGGCTCTCTAAGGATTTCTTTCCCTTGCTTACAGCAGGAGTTCTCAATCAGGCCCAAACTTGCAGTTAATGTGTGTCAGGATGAAAATAATTTCTCATTCCATCCAGTTCAGAGGCTACCTTCCTAACCTTCCCTGCCCCCACCCCCTCCACTTCACCACCACTACTTGGGCAGCAGGTAGTCCTGGTAAAGAGTGTATGACCAGGAAACCTCTGATGGGAACCACTAAGGGGTGTCATGGACAATGTGCAATGAGAGTGACTTCATTGATTTGGTGGTAGGATTCCGAATGTAAATTCAGGACTAGGGGTGGGGGATATGGAGCTGCATCAGATGGCAGGAGTAGGAAGAGAGGAAGGTAACATCAGTGCAGGGGACTATCTGGGTAGACATAGGAGAGGTATCCCAGGTTGCCAAATATGTGAATGGTTTTAAACTTTTATTCAGTCATTTAGCAGACATTTATGAAGTGCCTACCATATGCAGAACACTGCTGTGTGCTGGAGGGAGTTATAAAATTTAACTAAGACATAGCTCCTGCCTTCATCTAGCTTTCATCACAAAGATAAAAGAGAAAAATCTCTAAGTTCCACTCCCATTCATTCATTCAAGATGTGATTCCTGGTCACCTGCCTGCTTTGTGCCTTCTCTTACTAATGGGAAATCCTTGGGATGGAAGGGGCATCTGATGGGGATTTGATCTGAACCCCTAAAAAGAAAAGACCATGTCTTTGAAAGCAACCCACTCCCTGAATTTTCCCAGACATTTCAGTAGCCCAAATCACTGGCACCTCTGCTCAAGGCATCTGGCCCACCCCAGCCCACCTTGTTTGCTTAATTAGCTTACTTGACACTCCTTAATTCCATCTAGACCACTTCACTCCTTGATCCCAACCAGATCTTCTCATAGTCTTTTCCTGTATAAAAGTTATCAGTCCCATCCTTATAAAATGCACAGATTCCTTATGAATCTGGCCCACCTAACTGCTGTTATAATAAAACCTCACTACTTTGAACGAAAGCAGGCTTGAGTGCTCAAATTCTTTCCAGGCAGACCCGCCCTGTACTCTTATATTTTGGGGTTCCTAGCACCCCATACCACATCACATCCAGAGGTCATCTAGCCCATTCTCCTGAATCCTTCTAGGTCTCCATTTTCAGCAATTCAGAAGTTAACTTTTTCCAAAGTATTTCCCCAAGGCAACAACTAAGAGGAAAAAAAAAGTTGAAATTACCTACCTGTTTAACTTTGTGGTTAAAGTTAACCACTAAACACATGATGACTTAAACAGTGATCTTTCATTTCAGGGCAGGAATTACAAGAGCAAATTGCTCTCCAAATTACAGTTTGGGCTTCCAGGTTTAGCAAGGAGACAAGGAAAAAGTGGAATCAGAACACCTAGTTTTGGAGGCTAGACTCCAAATTTTATTGAATAATGGAGAAATTACAAGATAAAAGAAAGCCTGGCATTCAAGAATTCTAGGTTCTAGGTTGACCTTTGTCACTAACTAGCTATGTCATCTCAGGCAAGCCAATTAACCTTTTTAGATGATAGTTTTTTCATTTGTCAACTGGAAATGCCTGGTAGCAGTGAAAAGCAAATAAATAATGGATGTGAAAGTCCTTTAGAAAACAAAAAATAATGTCCAGATGTGATATGTATATCCCAGGAACAGGGAAAGGAATAAATATTTATATAGTGCTTATTGTGTGACTGGCATTGTGCCACATGCTTTATAAATATTATCTCATTTAATCCTCGTGACAACTTTGAGAGGTAGGTATTATTATACCCATTTTACTGGTGAGGAAACTGAGGCAAACAGCAGTGAAGTGATTTCCCTAAGGTCACAGCTAGTAAGTATATACAGCCAGATTTTCCTGATTTCCAGGTTTAGTGCTCTATCCATTGTACCACCTAACTAGATAGGCTGGAGATTGAGAGAATTGATTTTTCCCCTTGAAGTTTCTGCTCCTCTAACCTCCCCATTTGAGGAAGCTCTATCACCAATTAATGTTTTCATTCCACAGGGTAGCCTTGGACCCCCAGGGCCTCCTGGGCTAGGGGTAAGTACTTCTTTCTTATAGGTAGCATTTGAGGGAAGATCTTTTTGGAAGGCTAGTGGGAGTCTTGGGCACTGTCAGCACCTTCTTGGCAATGCAACCATGTTAAGGGAAATGAGCAGAAAACTCAGAGATAATTGTGTCCCTTTCTGAGGCTGCCAATTGGACCTACCAGAGTTTCTTAAGAGGCTAGACCTCAAAGCCAAAAGTCCAAGGGCTTGACCTCTAGTTGTTCTGTACTCCTGGGAAGGTCCAGCAGAGCATATGCCCTGACACTGGAGAGGACCCATCCTGAATACTACCCGATCCTTCTTCTTGACCTTAGAACCATTCCCCAAATTCCAATTTTTTCAGAGAGCTAGATGAGTAGCTACATAACCTTTCAGTATCTACTTTCTGAATAACCTCCACCTTTTCTTTACTGTTTGCAGGGCAAAGGACTCCCTGGACCTCCAGTAAGTAGAACTAGCCCAGAGAATTTGTTTATATTCTTGGTGACCTCTCCTCTCCCCCAGACTCTAGTGTTATCTCCAAACAACCAGTGAAGACTGACCAAAGTCCCTGGATCCTACATTAGGGCAACTAATTGAATCTCTCAGTGACCAGAGGCCCTGGAATTAGCTATCAACTGTCCGTCCAGTTCAGTTCCTGCTCCAAACAGCCAGAGAAGGGACTAAGTTGATGTCTCTCTTGCAGAGGTCCAAAGGTCTCTAGCTTGTTGGCAGTTCCTATCCAATCTGATGCCTCTGAGCAGAATAATCAAGATGAATGAATAAATAAATAAATATTTTAATTTATTTATTTGTTTGTTTTGATTAAAAAAAAACTGGGACTATTTACTTTTTGTCCTGCACAGTTTTCATTTTTGATTTCTTGAAATATAGCTTTGAAAAGACAGGCTTTTAAAAAATCCTTTGTATTTTAAATAGAACTACTTTACTAGGTTTTAAACCCAAATCACTCTAACTTTCAAGCCTCAATGACTCATCGTTTAGTTTTTGATGGTTTCGAAAGAGTGTAAATAGCAATTCTTTTCTGTTCTGGCCAGAAACTCTGAGGGTCTTCCCCTCCCAGACGTGTGTATTTGCAATAGTAAATTGGGCCATCTTTTGTCTCAACTCTTACCTAGTCTTTAGTCATGGAATGGGTGTGGCCTCACACAAACTGGGGAAAGACCTTAATTTAGAAAGGCCAAAGTCACCTGCTGAATTCTAGGCCATTGACAGTTGTCTTGACCTTTGTCTAGCCCCTCGACTTCAATGACTCTAAAGGAAAGAGTGAGGCTGACCACTTTGCTCTGCCTCACTTAAATCCAATTAACAGGCAAGTCAAAGCATCACTCTCATGATATCATTGCTCATCTTTGAGAATGAAAGAGGAACAAAAACAACAATCATCACTTGGGGAGATTTTATTTATTATCTTTCTCCCATCTTCCCTTCCCCAGGCTTGGCTGTCCAAGAACTCATCCAAACTCTTTGAGAGAAGACTCATTACCACTGGTGGTGAAGACTCATCACCCTCCCCTCTTTCCATAACCCTCTGCCTAGGGTGCTTACTGCTTACAGGACTTGAATGAGATGGTCATCAGCAACTTCATTCCTTCTTAGGAGATGGAGTTCTACCAGAGCTGATCTGATCTGCCTCTATTCCCTGCAGTCATCTGACTTGCTGATATAACCTATGGATCCCTAGGCCTTTCTAGCTGCTCCAAGGCAGCAAGCTTAGGACTTGCAGGCTTTTTCATCTTCCTGTCTGTAGTTGAACTTTCTTTTATGTGTTGTCTCCCTTAATTACGGCGTGAGCTCCTCGAGGGCAGGGGCTCTTTCAATTTTTCTGTCTCCTCAGTGCTTAACATAGTGTTGGGCACATAGTAAATATTTAAATGCTTTTTTCATTCATTCATTCATAGTTCCCCAGGTACAGCTCCAGAGTAGAGTTCCTAACCACGTCCCCCTAATCTCCAATAACAAACAAAAGACTAGTGTTGAAAGAAAAAAGTCCTGATATATTTGCTTTTCTCTTTCTCCAGGGTGAGGCTGGACTGAGTGGCCTCCCAGGAGGAAATGGAGTCCGTGGACCCCCTGTGAGTGACTACCCCGTGCTAAAACCATGCTGATATTTCTGGGTTAAACTAGTATTTCTGTCCCATAATGATAAGTATTTATAGGTTAGCCATTTCATACATACACATACAAACACACACATATACATACAACATGGTCCCTACTTTAGGGGACCAGACAGGATGCTACCAATCTACACATGTATCATCAAAAAACCTGTAGTTTCTCATTGTTCATGGTGCCTGGCTGGGTTGGGCTGGATGCAGTACAGAAAGGGTGGCACAAATCCAGTCCCTTGCCTGTATATTTTCATAGTTTAAGAGCTATGCTGATGCAGACACAACTCTAAGAAACAACCAGTAGAGCAAAAATACCATCCTGAAGCCTGGATGTGAGTGAGTGAGACAGATGTTCAAGTTGGGAGGAAGGCCTGTCAGGAGCTATATCAGCCTGTTGTTGGAACAGGGAGAGAATGGACTGGGGAAAGGTGCATTGGGGTCATTATTAGAGGGAACTTTCATCATTGCTTGTCTTTCCCAACCTCAGAGTGACATGAGCCATGTCACATGACTTTTCTGAGCCATGATTCTTCCCTTTCCTAGGGACCATCTGGACTCCCAGGTCTGCCTGGTCCCCCAGGCCCTCCAGGACCTCCTGTAAGTACTAGCACTGACTTGCTGAGAGCGAAGAAAGTCCAGGGTTTTCATAGTCAAGGGTGGAGTGTTTGAGAAAGAGATGGACAGAAGAAAAGATTAATACTGGGATGGGCCCAGGATCTCTTTCTTCTGCTAAGGCCAAATTCCTAGACAATGAGTTGTGTATTAAGTTCCTCAGGCTCCAGGAAAGAAAAAAAGACTAATTCCTAGGACAGGATAGGACTTGAAGAAAAGGGATTGTCTGGGGTGTCAGAGGTGAGATCTCTCCCAATTCAACTAGACCTGTCCTTCATTTACCCATCCATTCATACAACATTTATTGAATACTTGTTATAAGTCAACACATAGAGCTGTGTCCAGGAGTTTAGGCCACCTGTATTCTTTCCTCTCAGGAAGGAACATATCCAATTGACCACAGGAAAATTCCTCATCTTCTGCTCTTGCCAGGTTGTCTGACTTTGGTCTGTCTCTGATGCAAAGCCTGAACTGAGTTTTGTTTACTTCATTTGCAAAATGGGAAAGGCTTGTTAGCCCCCTGTGTTGCTCCTTGGCAAGGCCTATGAGATGTGACCAGAAGGATTATTTCACTTTATCCCCATTCTCTAGAGAAAATGTTCTGAGCTTTTTTGTGATATGGACCTATTTAGCAATCTGGTGAAGACTTTGGACCTCTTCTCAGAATAATGATTTTAAATGCATAAAATAAAATAAAGAAAACAAATTAAATTGAGATACTGTTATCAAGATATACAAATTTTTAAAGCGTAATTTCATGGACCTTTTGCTCTAGAGGAAATTGCTGGCAGATCACTGAGTTACTATACCACTATCCCCCTCAGGAAGACAGCTTTGCAAACTTGGGCTGACAAGCTTGTACTTGTTTTCCTCTGCCGTAATTAACCCTGGGTACCTGGAGACTAGACTTGCAGGAGTGGAGGGTGCCCCTTCAGAGACCCCCTGCTTGTTTCTATTTTCTCTCTGATCAGAGAATGCTAGAAGGTCCTAGCTTGAGACTTCATCACTCAACCAACCCACTAATCAGTGAATAAGAACTCACTGGGTTTGTTGTAGTAGGCACTGTAGTGAGTCCTGTAGTAGGCACTGTGGCAGCCGATCAGTGAGTAGAAGAAATTGGTCCCTCTGATAGGGGAGTTCATAATAAAACTGGGAAGGCAGAAAGTAGACAAATGAAGCGATGTTGAGGATAATTCCAAAGTCTTCAGGTGAGTCTCCAGTGGAAATGGAGAATGAGACAAAAAGGGAAGGATCTAAATGCTTCAGTTGATGCCCTAATTTTTTTTTTTAATTTCAGGGACACCCAGGGGTTCTTCCTGATGGTGCTGGTGACCTCCAGGTAGGAATTTTTCTTTGTTTTCTACAGGGGTTGACTTGGGCTTAAGTATACAGTTCTCAGAAATCAAGAGACAGGCAAATGGAGAGGGCCAGGCAAGGAGCCCTGGATTTTAGTCTTGATTCCAGCCCTAACTCGGCCATGTGATTGTGGACAAGTGATTTAATACCTCTAAGTTGTTGTTGTGTGTGTTTTTTAAACTAATCTGGAGAAAAGAGAGGATGTTGTCTGCCTTTTCTCAAAGAAGATCAGTAAGGCTGAGGCATTTGAAGGGTGAATGTAAAATGTTTTGAGACCCCTGGAAAAAGAAGGGAGCTGAAATGTATTATGCTTACTGAAAATTGTCTGCCATGTGTATAAGGCTACTGTTGAATCCTTCTTGCACAAAGTTACCAGGCTATGTATCAACAATATATCAAGAAAACAGCACATAGGGGCAGCTAGGTGACGCAGTGGATAGAGTACCGGCCCTGGATTCAGGAGGACCTGAGTTAAAATCCGGCCTCAGACACATTACACTTACTGGCTGTGTGACCCTGGGCAAGTCACTTAACCCCATTGCCTAGCAAAAAAAAAAAAGAAGAAAGAAAGAAAGAAAAGAGCATATAATGTTACATTTAAACATTATCTAGCTTACATGGGGAGAAAGATAGGCTGGAATTTAATTTGCAAGGTTGGATTAAATACGGGGTCTTTGGGCCATCCTACAAAAGCCTTGAGGATTGCTACGTACTAGTATGTACCTTGGGACTCATTTTTTACCTTAAGGTAGCTAGGTGGCATGAGGGATAGAGCACTCGACTAGAGTAAGGAAGACCTGATTTTGAATCCTGCCTCATTCACGTGCTAGCTATATAGACCTGTCACTTAAACTTTCTGAACCCTCAGTTTCCTCGTTTGCAAAATGGGGGCTTGGACTAGATCAGTGGTATCAAAGTCATTCAAACAGAAATGGACCACTAAACCTACATAATCATCCCTATAGGCCACATATTGACTTGAAAACCACATATTAACATTATTTATGTTTTATTGCATTTTTATTTTGTTAAATATTTCCCAGTGACATTTTAATCTGGTTTAGGTTGTAGGCCATGGTGTTTAATACCTGGAATAGATGGTCTGAGAGGTTCTTTTCAACTTTAAAACTATGATCCTATGATCAGTGTGTCAGCTTGTGCCAGTGACAGAAATATTGCTTCATTTATTCTCACCCCCACTGCAAACTATTTCTAGCTTCCCTTTGAAAAGAGTCAGTTGGCAGCACTGCTGTTTATGACAACATCTGTTAACACCTCACTTCTGTGTATTTAAAAAAAAAAACATTTTGGGGGAGGGTAATTTTTTTCCTCCTTTTTGAGAGTCAATAATAAACTGTCAATTTTACTTTTTTCAAAGAAATGCAGCCAGCTTTTTGGTGGCAGAACTGAGTTCATCTTATTTGAGAACTTTATAGCTTTTCTCCCTGGTCCTCCCCTTTAGGACTTCTAATTAACCTGCCTGCTTTGTACTAAAGAAAAAAGAGGCAGGCTAGCCTGATGGTTATTGCAATAGTCACCTGTGGTAGGAAAGGCAACTAGTACTGATTTGGAATCAAAAGACCTGAGTTCTGCCCTGATGTTTACTGCCATCCATTTAGGGAAGGAGGGGAAGAGAATAAATATTTAATTTATTTAAAAGGGAATAAATTAAATAAAGTAAAAGGGAATAAATTAAATAAATTAAAAGGAGAATAAATATATAAAACCTACTGTATGCCAGAAACTGTGCTAAGCGTTTTACAGATATCTCATTTGATATTTACAACAATCCTTTGAGGCAGGTGCTATATTATCCTCATTTTACAGTTGAGCAAACTGAGATGGACAGAAGTCAAGTGACTTGCTCAGTGTCACACACTTAGTAAGTATCTAAGGCAAGATTTGAACTCAGAGCTTTCTGACTCTAGGCTCAGTGTTCTATCTACTGTGCCATCTAACTGCCTCAGTTCCCTAATAACAAATCTTGTGATATTTACTTGTTGAGCATAGTACTTCTTGTAATATCTACCTCATGTCATTGTTAGGAGAGGACTTTTAAAAATTTAAAGTATGACAGAAATGTGAGCTATCATTGTCAGAAAGCCCTGAGGTTGGGTATTGGGATTTCTATCCCAGTTTTTATACTAATTTGCTCTGTGTGTTTTGGAATGTTCTGTTACCCTTTTGAGGCCTCAATTTACTCCTTTGAAAAATGGAGATGAGTCAGAGAGTGCTGGGAGGAAGTTGCTGCGTAACTACAGATGGACATTATGTGTCCTGAAAAGGTTTTTGGAGAATGAGCTTTGTGTAAATCATTGTTTTAAATGTAAGAGAGCTTACCATTTTCAAGAACTAAGAGTTTCTTGGTGAGCTGAAAAATCCTTTTGTAAAGCCAACAGTGACTAGCTACCCTCTCAATCTGTCTTGAGAATTTAGATGTTCAAATAATGGATTTTCTTAAAGTGGGGTCTATCCATATACACCATGTAAGACAGTCGGGGGAAAAAATGAAGGAAAGGTTATGAAAATCAACCCTCCTATTCCATCTATACAACTTTCTGTGGTTTCAGTTAAGGGTCATTGATCTGAGCCTGGTGAATTTCCTGTATTTGCTTCCATTTTTTGTCATTGCTGGCTGGGTCTGAACCTTGACTAGTCATCAAGGCAGCTAGGTGGCACATAGACTGTAGTCAGGAAGGCTTGAGTTCAAATCCAACCTCACTCACTAGGTGTATGACCTGACAAGTCTTTTAACTTCTCTCTGCCTCAGTTTCCTCAACTGTAAAAAGAAGATTATAGTACTTACTTCATATGGTTATTGTGCAGATTGAATGAAATGCTATTTGTAAAGTGCTTAGCACAGTTCCTGGCACATAGTAAGTGCCTAATAAATGTTTGTTCCTGCCTTCCTTGGTGGAAAGTCAGGCTTCTATATTCAAATCAACGCTGTAGTTACCTCTGGATAGGGTCTATCAACAGATTCTTCTATTGCTGCACTCACTACTCTGTGACTCCCACCACCCCTCTCTACAAGTGTTGCCTCTCCCTTTAAAATGTAAGCTCCCTGAGGGCAGGCACTATCTAGCTTTTTAATTTGTTTCCTCCACGCTTAGCTCAGTACTTGGCATATAGTAATCATTTAATAAATGTTGTTCATCCACTCATTTATTCATCTTAGAAGTAGCCTTTGTGTACTGATTTCTTTTATTATCCTGACTATGGCTCCATGATATTTGAATTATTTCTTTTTGGCTGCTTGAAGTATTTTCTCCTTGACCTGTGAGTTCTGGAATTTGGCTTTAATATTCCTGGGAGTTTTAATTTTGGGATCTCTTTCAGGAGATGATCAATGGTTTCTTTCAATTTCTATTTTACCCTCTGGCTCTAGAATATTAGGGTAGTTTTCCTTGATAATTTCTTGAAAGATGATGTCCGGGCTCTTTTTTTGGTTATGGATTTCAGGTAGTCCAATAACTCTTAAATTTCCTCTCCTTGATCTATTTTCCAGGTCAGTTATTTTTTCCATTGAAATATTTCACATTTTCTTCTATTTTTTAATTCTGATTTTGTTTTATTGTTTCTTGATGTCTTGTAAAGACATTAGCTTCCATTTGTCCAACTCTATTTTTTTTTTTTTTGGCTAGGCAATGGGGTTAAGTGACTTGCCCAGGGTCACACAGCTAGTAAGTGTTATGTGTCTGAGGCTGGATTTGAACTCAGGTCCTCCTGAATCCTAGGCTGGTGCTCTATCCACTCTGCCACCTAGCTGCCCCTTGAGTTTGTGTTTTGAGTTTCCCTGTCACCACAGTAGCTTTCTATAGTCAGGATCTTTTTCTGCTATTTGCCCATTTTTCCAGCCTGTTTCTTTTTTTCTTTTCTTTTCTTTTTTTTTTGTGAGGCAATTGGGGTTAAGTGACTTTCCCAGGGTCACACAGTTAGTAAGTATCATGTGTCTGAGGCCAGATTTGAACTCAGGTCCTCCTGACTCCAGGGCCAGTGCTCTATCCACTGGGCCACCTAGCTGCCCCTTCCTGCCTGTTTCTTGACTTTTAACTCTATGCTAAAGTTGGATTCTGCTTTTGGAATGGAGGGGGTACTGTCCTAGGTTTCAAGCGTTTTGTGCATCTGTTTTCAGAGATAATTCTGGGGACCTGTAAGTTTTCAGTTCTTCCAAGGTGGTATGATCTAGAGAGAGGTGTGTTTACTACTCTCCTGGCCTGTGCTCTGGTCTGTGAGTAACCACAAGCATTCTTTTCTACCCTGGACTTGTGAGCAGTGTCCCAGCTCCCATGTGGCCACAAGCTCTGGTATGCTAGTGCTTGTCCTTGCCTTGATACTGAGACCCAGGACTGTGATCCAGATCCAGGTGTGGACAATGCAACATAGTCCTACCCCTGGTGCCAACAAAGGGGCCCCTGTAAGCTTTTGACCTGTTGTCTGATCCCCTTACTGTGTGTAGACTGAGAGGTATAGAAACTACCACTGGGGCCACTGATTCAGTAGCCCACAAGGCCTACTGCTGGTTTGCTGGGGAGTGGCCTGCACTGGACCAAGCTCCACTCACACCTAGGTGCAAAAGACCTTTCCTGTCAAACTTCTAAGCTGTGTTGGGCTGGAAAATTGTTTCACCTGGTCATTTTATGGGTTTTGCTGTTCAGATTTTGTTTTGAGGCATTATTTAAAGTTGTTCAGGGAAGTTTTAGGAAGAGCTCAGGTGAGTCCCTGCCTTTTTGAAGCCATCTTGGTTCTGCCCCTGAGCTCCCATACCTTTGACTCAAATTTGCTCTTTATGTCTTTCTGCAATCAAGAGGTGATTGAGAAGAAAAATTTCTGATCCCATATCTCTTGTTCTCTTTCAGTGTCCAGCTATCTGCCCACCTGGACCCCCTGGACCCCCAGGAATGCCAGGATTCAAGGTAAACTCACAGGTCAAAGCAAGATATACAATTGCTGGGTGTCACAGACCAGTGTGGAAGCAGGATTTAATCTTAAAGAGTCAATGGGGAGCCATTGTAACCTTGTAAAGCTGTCCCATTCATTCCAGTGTTTGTAATGCTGGGATGTAGTCATTCAAGATAATGTCAGCTCTTAGAATTTAGGGATTTTTCATTTCTTCTTTTTTTCTTCTTTTCTTTCTTTCCTTCCTTCCTTCCTTGTTCCTTTCTCCTTTCCTTCCTTCCTGCCTCCTTCCTTCTTTCCTTCCTTCCTTTCCTCTCTCCTTCCTTCTTTCCTTATTTCCCTCCTTTCTTCTTCCTTCCTTTCTTCCTTCTTCCTTCCTCCCTCCCTTTCTTCCTTCCCTCCCTCCTTCCTTCCTCCTTCCCTTCCTTCCTTTCTTCCTTCTTTCCCTCAGTTCTTCATTCTTTCTTCCCTCCCTTCTTCCTTTCTTCCTTCCTTCCTTCAGTTCTTCATTCCTTCCTCCCTCCTTCCCTTCCTTCCTTCCTTTCTTCCCTCAATTCTTCATTCCTTCCCCCCTTCCTTTCTTCCTTCCTTCCCTTAATCCCTTCCTCTTTTTCTCCCTCCTTCCTTCTTTCCTTTCTTCCCTCTCTTCCTTCCTCCCCCCTTCCTCCCTTCCTCCTCCCTTCCTTCCTCCCTCTCTTTCTTCCTTCCTTCCTTTCTCTCTCTTTTTCTTTCTTTTTTTCTCTTTCTTTCTCTCTTTTTCTCTCTTTCTTTTTTCTTCCTTTCTTTCTTCTTTCCTTCCTTCCTTCCTTCCTTTCTTCTTTCCTTTCTTTCTTTCTTTCTTTCTTTCTTTCTTTCTTTCTTTCTTCCTTCCTTCCTTCCTTCCTTCCTTCCTTCCTT